AGAGGAAAGTGCCTTGTGCAGATCCCAGGCTGACCATAGCTGGGGTGTGGGCCTGCGTGAGCCTGGCCCGAGGCCATTTCCACCCCACCGTGACCGCTTCCTTGTCTGCATCGCCCTGCTGCGCCTGGCACCCAGCTCTTCCTGACGACCAGCGATTCTCCCAGCGTGGTTCTGGGTCCAGCAGCATCAGCCTCCCCTGGGGTTACCTCCATGGCACGTTGTTCAAGAGAAGCTGGATCCCACAGGGTAACCATGGTTCAAATCCAGCCTAGTCTGCCTGAGACCCGCTGAGCACGCACGCAGGTGCCCAAGACCTGATGGGCTGAGAACTGGAGGAAGGGGCGGTGCCGTGCCAGACCCCCACCCCCATGTGTGCCTACGTGCTCTATCATGAATAAAGGAGGTCACGTGTGCACACCTGTGGCTTTCCTAGGAACGTGCACCTCAAGTGAGCCCACAGTGCTATCTAGACTCATTGGACTTTCGGTTTTCGGAACCTCCTCCTTGCCCAGGTGCATTCCTTCTTTATCTCCCGGCAGTCCCGTCTATCGGCCATGACCTTCGGCGCGTTTCAGTTACGGCGGTGCACCAGACTCCCTGTCTCCACGCTTTGCTGGATTAAGCAAAGGAGCGCCAGGTGACCATGAGGTCATCCTGCTCTCCTGCCACAGCATGTCTCTAATGGTTGCTGCACCAGACACCTTGCTCCTCTCTCCTCCCATCTGCAACTGTTGCCTTTAAAATCTTCCTGAAATCTGCAAAACCTTGGCACGTGCTATGCAGGGTGACTTGGATTTTAGGGTGCCCGGGCCATCATCCTAACCTGGGCCCAAATGAACTTCTTTGCTTTCTCATTAGGTGGACACAGACCTGACTCAAGCCTGATTCCTCCGGCTCGGAAATCGGAGTGACGCTGAACTGTGGAAGCCCGGGTTCCTGTAGCAGGCCCGGTGCTGTGTGCTAAGCGATGGAAGCGCTGCGGCCCTGGCCCTTTGGTATTGAAGCCCGGCGAGGCACGTGGAACCACCTTGTGTACTTCACGTCTACCCCCACGACCGCTCTGTTTAAGCAGGTACTTTTGTTGTCCCCCTCTCACAGATGCAGACCCCGAGGCTGGGGAAAAGGAGCATGTCGGCGTATGCTGAGGCTACCGCGTGCTTGGCCCTCCACACACGTTACTTCGTTGACCATCCGTGGCAGCGCTAGGAGGCTTGCCGTGTTCAGGTCAACTCGCCATCTCACAGGTGAGCACACTGAGGCTCTGTCCTGGGTCACACGGGCACGAGGCTCAGGAGCGATGGAGCTGGGACCCCATCCAGGACTCCACCACTACACCCACGGGCAGGAGCCGGGAGGGAGGTAGGCTGGGGACGTTACCAAGGCCAATAGGGAGAGGGGAGGGCAGGCTGGACACCAGGAAGAAGAAAGGGAAGGAGGCCAGGCTGGCTTTGTCCCCAGCAGGCTACTCAGGGGGAGGCAGCCCGAGGATGGGGGCAAAGAGAGGGAGGGGTCGGGACAGCCCTGGGGAGTCACCCAGGTCCAGGTGACAGGTGCAGCCCTGAGGGCTGTGAGGTCACTGACAGTGAGGACTGAGGTGCCCGTGTGGGAGTGGAGTCCCTGAACGGCAGCCCCGCTTGGACCCTGGGATGCGCCTATGAACAGAAAGCCGGGTTCCTTCCCACAAGGTCGGGGGAAGGGTGTGGAAAGGGTGTGGCCAGGGTGGCTGATTTTGGAAGATTCTCTCTTCCTCTTTCTCTTCCCCTCCTCCTTCTCCTATGGAGGGCTCTTCCTGTCTGACTACGCGCCCACGGGCTGAGGTGTGGGGCCCTGCCCAGGTCAGGGCAGTAATGGCTGACATGAGGACGGCGGGAGTAGCTGAGTATGTCCTCTCGCTCTCTTCCCCCTCTTCTTCCACTCTCTCTCTCTTTCTCTTTCTCTCTCCACCTTCATTTCTCCTTTACTCTCTTACTGCAGAAAGATTTTAAGGTAGCTTAATTACAGGCACAAAAATGAATTAGTCCCTTCCCTGTGCTCAACTTTTTTTCATTCACTCAACAAACACTTAAAGGGTGCTGACTATATACTAGGCACTGTCCTTCCTTAAAACACACACTCACACTCGTTCGATGACTCAGTCAGCACACACGGACAGGTCCCGCCATGTGTCAGACCTGGTGCTGGGGACAGAGATGGGTGGGACAAGCTGGAGGATCTGGGGTCTCTTTGTGCGCTCCCCCAAGTCCTCCTCGACAAGGGCACTGCTCTCTGTCTGCTAAACTCATGCAGCAGGCGTCCCTGCCTGTCCCCTCAGCCAGGGGGTCCCATGCTGATGGGCCTGGGAGCAGTAGGCCGGGTGGCCGTCCCCAGAGGCAGTGACCCAGGCTCGCAAGCTCACTCGCTGGATCGGGCTGCCCGGGCCGGCAGACGGATTGCACAAACACGCCTGCACCACGCAGCACAGAGGCCCTCTACACCAGCCAGCCCGGCCACAGCACGTGGTTGCGGTTTTGCGCTTGGCACCGCCAGCCGGTCGGAGCGGTTTGTGATCAGACACCGGCCCACAGACCAGCTGGCTCACGGTGGCTCCGCCGCCCACAGGAAACCTCTCCCCGGCCAGCCAGGGGCAAAGGGGGGGAGGGGGGCTGGATC